GTTCGCCAATCTCCCTTTCCTATATCTATGGCCATGATACCGACATTTCGAGATTCTAGGATTGTGGCCTAACACGCCGATGTCGTACACACCAATTCTCTTGCTCACCAAACTTGTGCTATCCACAATTTGATTGGCATAATCAATGGCACATCTTATGATGACAAAGCTGATATTCCCCTTAATACAGTTTTTTTTTTTTTTATAACCGAGGTGTCCGGGCCAGCTTGCGCGCACCTCGACTATTCCTCGGGGGAGACTAATACAGCAACCCACTACCATGGCCCCCCACTTAAATCACAAGTGCTCAGCTGAGGAATCGAACCTGGGACCAGTGCACCTAATCACTCAATCCCAAATACGCCCTAACCAACTGAGCTACCCATGGGTGAGTCCCTTAATACAGTTGATGCCTCGCAAAGTCACTATATCTCTTCATATAGCCAACATCTATGTTGGCCTTCTTTGGTTGCTAACACTAGTATAATTCGTTCTAATTTACTATACACTTGAAAATAAGTAGGTATTGTGAAATTCTGGAAAATTATCCAAAAAATCATAAATCTATTATAGAACAGTCAATTCAGTCCTAAACTTTTTAATTTAGCAAGTTTGATCCTAAACCTTTTGATGATTTTTCAATATAGTCCTTCTGGCAAATTTTAATCGGAAATTGTTGACATGGCGGTACAGTTAGTACCGACCATCCTACGTGGCATGGCCAATTCTAACGTGAAATTTTTTCAAATTTTCTTCTTTTTTTCAATTTTTTTATATTTTTCCTTATTTCCCTCATCATGCCGCTAAGGCACGACAAGGCCCAAATCCAGATAAGGCGTTGCGGCCCTCGCCCTTGGTATTAGACTAAATAATTTGTCAAGAATTGTCAATAAAAACCTTATCTCCGTCAATCAATTGTTGAGATTTGTTGATGTACCAAGGCAAGCACCGTGTGAGATAAATGATTTATATCCACTTTTACAGGCCTTAATTGAGTCGGAATTGGTTTATCTAAGAGTTATTGTGGTATTGGACTTGAAAATTGCTACTAATTTCGGAGCGAAATTAGGTCTCTTGCCAAATTTGGGCATTAATTCATCCAAAAAATTATGAATCTACTCGAGCAAGAACTCGATCATCTCTATTTCTTTTAGGTAAGTAGTATTCTATGAATATTTAACTTCTTGGGTGTCTCCTTTTCCAATATCGTACTTTTCTTTATGACCAGTCGTGCCTTCTTGTAAGGCACTGTTTATGATCGTAATATTGCACTAAACTTACGTGACATGTTTTATCGAGCGATATTTTCAATCGAAATAAGAGAAACATTTAAACTCTATCATGTCAAAATGAAAATTTGGACTTTGCGAGGATATCATGGAGAAATGATCAAATTCTTCAAGGGATATTGCTATTTATATCTCAATGTACTTTACAATCTTCTTGTTAATATTTTTTAGGGTTAATACCATGAAAAACTCTAAAATATTAAACCTGTAACAAATTTACCCAAAATTAATTTTTTAACAATAAAAAATCTCAAGCTGGTACACATGTGATAATTTTACCTTCCATTAGTTTTCGTTTAATTTCATTGTCGAATTTCTGAGTTGAATGACACGTGGCGGTTCACGGGTTTACCAGTTTGGGGTTTTATAAGTGTACCGGTGTGTAATTTTTCATGATATTAATCCAATTTAACGAATGATAAATTTGTCACAAATGTATCAGTTTAGGATTTTTTGTGGTCAAAAAATTAGTTTTGGGTAAATTTGTCACAGCTGACCAGTTTGGGGTTTTTAGTAGTCAAAAAATTAGGTTGGGATAAATTTGTCACAAGTGTACCAGTTTAGGATTTTCCGTGGTATTAACCCAATTATGTTTTATCCTTTTTATCACTACATTTAACCCTAGAGCTGCACCCTCTTCCCCAGATTTCTAAATTGTACTTAATTTTCTAAACTATTCATTTAAGATGCGACAAAAATGTCTCCGGCTGGACAAAATTTGTGAACGGTTGGTCACGGTGGGTGTGCGCCCATTATGGTCACTCAATATCCGCAGCAATGAAGAAACTTGTGAGATTACAAGAAAGTTGCTGACGCATGATTTGGAATCAGTTTTTCAGTGGTTGAAGAATCGTCAAAACCCCAACTGCCCAAGAGTCCACGACGTGTTAGGAGCGAAGAGACAGAGCATCTCTCTCCATAATCATTCGAGAAGGCCGGCAGTGTAGAGAGAGAGAGAGGGAGAGAGAGAGAGAGAGAGAGAGAGAGAGAGAGAGAGGGAATAGTTGAAGAAGTGGGACGAACGTAAACGAAGAAAAAGGCAGAGCGAGGTTGGGGAAGTAGCTTATCAGTTAGTGTGGACGGAAGGGATACGACCAAAGCTCAACTTCCCCACCCAAGCACGAAAATGTATAAGTAAAAAGTGGAGGAACAATTAACTTGGCACTTTTCACTTTGCATGGTCTATTTTTTTAGATCTTCTAGTATTATGTTATATTTGCGGTCCTAATATACGCAACTACAATGAACAAAGCACCTTCTGCAAAAGATGGACGCTGAAAACCCTAATTCCTCCACCATCTCTATATCTCAAACCTTATCCTAAGCCTGGCTATTGACGTCTGCCGCTCCCACGCACCGCCATATTGCCTCAAACCATTGCCTTTGACGACATGGTTAAATCTATGTGTGTGCCTCAGCGTCTGTGTATGTGAGCGCGCACGTGGGAGCTCAACAAAGCCATGGCTATCACAACTTCACATCACGATCACGAAGCGATCGATGACTTCGATGCCATGGGGTAGGACTTTGTCGTCGATGTTGTGGGAGAGAGAGAGAGAGATTGCTGGTGGTGGTGGGCAATGATAGCGACGACTTGATGTCGTGGTGTCTGACAGGGTTATTTGAGTTAAAGAGTAATTTCGATGACGAGCGTGAGAAAAAGGGGCGGGGTATTTTCGAAAAGAGGAATGATTGTTTTTTAAATAAACCCAGAATCATACCTAGTCGAGAGTATAAAGTTGTAGTTTTAGAATTAGTTAATGACTTTGATATTCTGCCTAGAGTTCATTTCGTATGTTGATGCGATAATTTCATTAGATCAAGTAAATACCATCCTTGAATCGAACCTATCTATGTGACAAACACCATCTTTTCTTGACCAAGTCTAATCTTATTACATTGATGGTATGGACTTGTATGGAGGGCACGGACCCTGCACCGAATCCTAATTATCACGTGGAGGGCTAGAAGACGAAGGAATTGCTCTCGGGCATCAACGTCAGCCGTGGATAGAAAATTGAGCAGGCTAGGGATCAGTATCGACGTGCGAATGGGTACAGAGGACGTACATCCCCACGTCCACGGACACATTATCGCCATCCTACGTCTTCTTGAGAGCTCTCTTTTGTGTTCTTTAATGTTTTGCTGATATGTATTTATCTGTTTAGTCAAATGAAAGCACACAAAGTTCCAGCAAACGTCGCTTTATTGTGTCCTAGACTAGACCATGTGGGGGCGAGAGTCCTAAGAAAGCATGCCCGCCAATTGAATTGCCATGATACCGATATCCCGAGATTCTAGGATCACGGCCTAACACGCCGATATCCCAAACATATCTAAAGTTTTACTTGGCGATAACGGGCGAAGATTCTTTACTTGGCACGATGCTTCCATGATGTATCGACAAATTTCAATTGTCGATTAAAACCTCATTTTCGTCAATCAATAGTTGAGATTTATTGATATAATGAAGAGAGCACCACATGAGATATAGAAATCGACATCCACTTTTATAGGCCCTAATTGAGTCGAGAGTGGGATTATCGAAAGCTATTGTGGAATTAGACTAAAAAATTGCAATTGATTTTAAAGTGGAATCGAGCTCTCACTAGATACAGGCATTAATTCATAAAAAATTTATGAATCTATTGGATTGGGTAGTCGTGTATTAATCACATCCTCTGAGTAAGGCAATATTTTTCATTAGCTAACCGTTATTTTTTTCAAAAGTATAAAGGCGGAGTTCAATATCTAAAACGGAGCCACCACCCAAGGAGACGGACCTATTTAAGTATTATTCCACTAGTTTCTCTCTTTCTACGGCAATTGGCGCGTCTCTTCCTTTGTCCATGTAAGCAGTTAGCAACACTGGAAACGGGATAGCTACGGGTAATTCATCAATTGATTCAACCTTGGTTTCAATGGTTTCTATGTCAAGTGAGTGCTTACCTTCAATTTGTTCTAGAGTCGGTAGGTGGGGCTTCTTCCTTTTTCTTCTCGAGGAAGGTCGACCTTGGTTTTGGTTCAATAGAAAGATATTAATGTTTAAGTCCTCAGGGTTTCATTATCAATCGTTTCAACCTGTGCTTAAATGGTTCCTTAAAACATGCGGCCATAACATTTTCCACAAGTGAGGATATCATGGAGAAATGATCAAATTTTCAACAAATATTGCTATTTATATCTTAATGCACTTTACAATCTTCTTCTTAATTATTTTATTCCTTTTTATCACTAAATTTTTTTACTATTGCACATTCTCAAGGTTTAACTCTTTTCTATTCATAGCATGATTCACTTGTAATCGAGGTTCAAAAAAAAAAAGGGCACGCACTTGCCTTTGACAATATATAACAACCTTACTTGTATAAACTAATGTGGCAGTTGTTAACCGTGACCCATCTAGTTACAAAAATAATTAAATTTCACGCCAAGTTCATGTATTGTTTCATTTTGAACACGATTAGCGGTAAGCATAAATCCGTACGTGCTAATTTTTACGATATTCACTAATGAAAAATCATAGAAGCCAGATGTAAGTTGCAGTGACATGATCTTTGGCTAAACAAATATCGCATGCAAATCTCATCGACAATTCCATCGTATACTTGATTTGTTTAAATCCTACCAATTTATGCCGAAGTCCTAGGAATCGTCCCTCGTCGTCGAGATTTCTAAGTATCGGAAGATTAAAAAAAACCACCAAGAAAGTAGAAATTCAAACATTCTAAAGCCTTGTATTGATGATGACAAAAAGAAAAAGAGAAACATGTATAACGTATAGCCAGACCCGCTCTTGATCATAAACAAATCAAGACTTGCTTTTTAAGACTATTTCCTATTAGCAAGATGGTCGTTAGAAATCCCAGGGCGCTGTAATCTGCGGAGTTCATACGCACCGGATAGTGAAAACTTGAGCCGAGCCCGTTGTATGTACGTCTGAGCATGACCTGATCAGAATAGCATTACTGAATCTGTTCTCACGGGGAGATTCTGAGTGGATCGCGAGGGAAAAGAGAGGTTTTCCTGATATTGTTGAGACCGCAGAAGAGCATAACGACCCGCTCCAATCCCACTCCGAAGCCCCCGTGTGGAGGTGCTCCATACCTGCACAAAATCACCATTGTAATGTCTCGCCATAATGGAGAGGAATAATCACGCGCAGCTTGATCAACTAGCTGACCAAGTACCGCATATGGATCATCAAAACTGTGATAAGCTGACTCAACCATTGCATCAATGACGGCAAAAGAAACCGACTGTTTTTAGGAGAAGGATGATCAAACTGGATTACCTGAAAGAGTCGATATACGTTTCAATGGTCTTCACATCAATTCCATTTGCCTCTGCACGCTTTGTAAGAAGTTCAGGAACATGGACACGCTGAGCTCCTGATATAATCTCCTCGCCTGGGACAAAATGATACAAATCAGAAGTTAGCAATTGAATAAGGGTTGAATGCAAGGATTGTAGGTCAAAAGAGACTCCTATGGGCAACTCTCAGGCATCTAGCACAATCATGTGACGAGACATCAGATTTACTGGGGAAGGGCCACGAGATGCGATTTTATAATAGAGGCCATGCAAAAGAGAAAGGAGAAGCCTGAGAATCCATGGAAGAAGTTCTGAACCATTGGGAGTTATGGAAGATATATCTCTATATATGACTTCATGGTATATAAAGAATCAATGCAACACATGGTTCTCCTGAGAGTTCAAGCCTTCCCATCCAACCAATTCCCTCCCTATGTTTCTTTTCGAACAATTTGAATATGCATTTTAAACAATTTCAAGCCAACCGTAAGGCCAATAATCACATACTCTAAGGCATAACTCCCAAACTATCAATCAAAGAAAATTTGCTGAAGGTATAGACTGGCCGAAAACTTTACCTCTAATAAAAACATCAAATGAATTACTGTAGGCAGGATCATCATAGCATGGCATGGTGTAGAATGGCCTAACAGCCAAAGGATAGCGGTGAAGTATATAGAACTCGGTGCCATACCTAAGGATAAAAGAAAGCTTGGTAAGCTAATCATACCCAAAGGTAATTGCAATAACAATCAGAACCTAACTTAGAACTTCAGGCACATCAAAGAATATTAAACTTATTACTTCTCTAGAACCAGCTGTCCCAATTTTCTCTCTACTTCGGTGTTCAAGTCACCAAAAGGATCAATCTCAATGCCAGCATCCTGTACAAGCATAGTAATGTCAGAGCAGCAAGGGGAAAAAATTTAGCACATAATAGGGCACCTACTTCAAGAGCACTCATCCACAAACCAGCAACTGTTACAAAACTATATAGTAATGTAACCAACATTCAACCTCAAGGATTTTGGACCAAAAGCAATTAGTGTCAGGATGCTACTGACTTTAAGTATTCGATTTGTACGTTGATGCGATCTATGCATGCTATTAGACAATAAAATGACTCCATATACTCGAAGCACTCATTCCCAGGAAGACAAGAAATCAAACTCCAAACAACAATAAATAAAAAGTAACCAACCCTCTGTTGACCAGATAAATCTCAATCTGAGAGCGCTTCTTTAGATTTAGTTAATGATAAGAGCTTCCTGCTGAATGGACATGAGTTTCCCTACACAATCTACAGTAAAATTCACTAATTGGTTGACCAGGTTGCTGCTTACTGGTATATGACCTACAACGAGAGGGACTGGGTCCAGATTGGCACACTTTACTCCAGAGCTTTTGTGCGTGAGTGTGCTTGGGGGGATGACCTTGCCATTGAATCCCAATGCCATCAACTATGTAGCCAGTGAAGCATTGCAAGGGAACCACCAAGGAAGGTGGCAGGGTTGCTGGTTTCCAGAAAGTAGAGTCATAGAGGGCAAAATTGGATTTATGAAGGCCACATATGGGTAAAGCGGGAAAACTGAAAAATCCATTAATTCCCTTCAATTTGCATTCCGAAAATATTAAAATACCAACGCATTTCAGGCCCTGCATTGAGAATTTTGGAGTAAAAGAACTTCATATTTCTCTTGCACTCCAAATAGACTCTCCAAATAGGTATTGAGTCCCTAGATGCTGGAGAGATGCCTATGATTGTGGCTATGGACCTACACATCAAGGAACGTGCTCTAAGTAGTTGATGATACCTAAACTACCCAAATCTACTTGACCTAGTCAACAATCAGCCCCAGCCCCCAATGTACACGTGCATGGCATATCGTTGTAAATATCACTTTCTTGTGGTTACTCTTCCAACAGAACAAGTCATCAGGTAAGAGGAGTGCTACCACAAACAATCGGTTTCATTTAGAAGCAACAAACAAAAAATCAGTAAGAGAACTCGTGCTCCTACTTTTACAGCCATGATATAGAAGTGCCAGTGAATCGATATGTTGCCACTCTATCTGTTCTTTTTTATTTTTAATATGGGCGGTTATATAGCTGCCGAAATTTTTTTCCTCACCTTGAGCATTTGAACACCTTCTTGAAAGTTAAGCCGCAAGGTCTTTCTCAAGTACTGCAAGCAATTAAAAGTTACTGTCATGAGTTGCACTATTTTTGTAATCATTACATAATGTTCAGAGGATTGCTAAAAAAAAAAGACCATATTATAACCTTCAAAGGTTCAAAGGGGTATTGTCTTCCAATAGCTTCAAGTTCTTTCTTGCAACTTGCATTCAACGAGTCAAACATTGTAACGAACAACTTGTCCACAATGTCCATTACCTGCACATAAAAGTCTAGTTCATTGAACTGAACTAAAGCATGAGATAATTGAAAAAGTATCCAATCCTACCTCACAATAGTGCTTCTTAATCTCCATTTCAACATCAAGGCCAGTAAATTCACACAAATGCCTATGTGTGAAGGAGTCTTCTGCCCTGAAAACAGGGCCAATCTCAAAAACACGCCCAAAGTCACCACAAATGGCCATTTGCTTATGAAGCTGAGGTGACTGCGCCAGGCATGCGGGGCGCCCTTTATAGTCCAGTTTAAAAACAGCAGAACCTCCTTCACTGGATCCAGCTATCAGTTTCGGCGTATGGATTTCAATAAAGTCTTCAGATAACAAGAACTGGCTAAAAATCTGCCCAATGCGGAATCATATAAATTCAGATGATAGACTCAAAACAAACATAAATTGCAAACTAGGAGGAACATTGGCCGCTTAACGCATAAGTGCCAGCGCATCAGCATTTTAAGAAATTGGACTATCAGTCATATGGAGATTGGAGACTACAAAAACAACCCGTTCACACAAAAACAAAGGAAAAAGACTTCCGGTGTCTCTTTCACCCCTCCACCATGTTTTGAAACATTTACTCCTCAATGACTGGAGGAAACTATTTCCTAATTCTACCTTTTGCATCTAAACATCTTGCAGTTATGTACTACACGTACTGAAAAGAAAGCAAGTCTAAATAATGCCACCTCATTCCTTCTATGGATTAGTTGTTGATTTAGGCACGGTTTGTGGAAGAGGGGACAAAACAAATGCAATGAATTTTGTGGAAGAGGGGACAGAACAAATGCAATGAATTTGTTCAATTTCGTCAGGAATGGGGTATGGGGAAGCTCACATTGCTAACTTGACTCTGGATTCGAAAGATCCCTTGATTAGCAGGCGTGCGTATGTCGAGGACCCTGAAATTCAACCTCGTGTCCTGATTGACACGAACGAGCTGCTCTCCGGCCTGCAGATTTCGCAAAACACAAGAACATAAACAGGAGACTCTAGCCTTCACTAAAGTCCAGATATGAAACGATCATCAGCGAGATGGATACCTGAAGAGCCTTCTCGATTTCGGCTTCGCTGCGAGCGGCGTCCTCGAGGTTGATGGGGAGAGTGGGCAAGGCCTTGTTGACGCAGTAGATCCTGCTGACCTGAATCTCCACCTGCTGGGAAGCCCCCTTGATGGGGGACGACGGCACGGTGAGGGAGCCGTGGACGTCGACGATGGACTCGCGGTTCAGGGAGGCGACGAACTTCACCATCTGCCTGCTGACCAGTCCCTCCTTCTCCGTCACCACGCACTGCACCGTGAATCCCTTCTCCCGCACCACCACGAAGGCCATCTTCTTCCCCACCGCCCTTATCGTCTGGGCCCTCCCCCTCACCACCACGGTCCTCCCTTCCATCTCCCCCGCCAGCGCCCCGACCTGCGTGTACGGCTCCTGCACCTCCTCCTTCGACTGCAGCTCCGGCAGCGGCACCTCCCCGTACTTGTCCGCCAGGGGATCCGCCTCCTCCGGCGCCGGCGCCGCCGCCGCGACGGCGGACGAGGCCTCCTGGCGGCGGCGGAGCTTCTCCAGCTTGGCCTCCCCCTTCTTGGCGGCGGCCTTCTTGCTGGCCTTGGGCTGCTCCAGCGGCGGGGCCTCCGCTTCCGACGACATGGCGAAGAAGCGCGGCAGCGAAACTACGAGCGAGAGAGAGAAGAGGGTGAACAAAAGCCAAAAAAAAACCTAAATGGCCTTCGACCCACGCTGAGCAGTGCGCAGCGGTTTTCCCTTCTCTCCCGATGGCCGGCGAGGCAAAACCGTAATTTTCCTGAAGATAGAATTCACGACGAAGAATAGTCTTAAACCTCGTGTGCTTTGACTCCCGAAACGTGGCAAACGCGGCAACCCGATCTTAAATATAATTTTTCAGAATTTGTGCGATGAAGTTTTTAGTCTCGGCATCGACGGTACGAAATTTGGGCCGATGTCACGAAAAACTCTAAATTGATACAGTTATTATGAATTTGTCTTAAATTAATTTTTTAATCATTAAATATCACAAATTGATACACCCGTAACGAATTCGAGAAAATGAAAACACTTTGGGCTCTTATTTGACACAAACTCCGTTTCAGGGCCTTATTTGAGAAAATGAGAGCATTTTGGACCCTTATTTGAAATTTTCCCGAAAATAAAACATTTTTTTTTAATGTTGTGACGTTATTTGAAAGGTTTTGACACCGAAATCAATATCGTACAATAATTCTATATTAATATTATCCTGTTCCTATTCATAATGTACTTAGCAAGGGTAAGCAATCGGGTCGGTTCACGAGGCGTCGGTCCCGTTCGCGCTTCCAAAAATCAGAAATCGGTCTTGATCGTTTCGGTTCCCAATTCTATACCAAGAATTGGTTGATTCTACCTGGGTTCCTAAAACTTGGAACCAAATCGGTTCAAACCGGTTTACCCTGATCTCTTATGAACTTTTTTGTAACTTCTTTTAATAAAATAGAAAGTATCTGTTGAAGTTGTACACATTTGACACATTATTCTTAAGTAAAAAGAATTGCATCCGTGTTTGACACAAAGCCTAAAAGGATTCTTAATGGATTATGAATTACATGCTTAAAGAAAAACAAAACATGCCATCAATTCCATTAGCCCGTTAAAAAATGATAGGTCTGTATAGTTCATGGGGGGAAATCGGCCCACTCGGAACCGATTACTCTTAAAACTGCGTATTGTCGTCTGGATTTCTAGTCGGGATAGGATTTGATAGGATAGGATTTGAAATTCAAGGGATTTGCTGTATTTTATCTACTGTTTGGTGAATCACGGAAATAAAGCCGGATATTTTCACATCTTACCATGTTCATTACATCATATTAATGTAAACGAATCTAATAATTGCATAAGCGGAGATTATAAAAATTTCTCTCACGACACTCTTACCTATTTCATTTTTATTTGCTTATTTTTATTATTATTTTTGCCTCTCTTTTTTTAATTATTTTGTTTTTTATTTATTTTTTCCCCTTCCATCATTCTCTAATAAATTTTTATTAAATAGCAAGCTATACTAATATACCTAAAAAATATATAAAATATAAATACATTAGTATTGATTTATATATGAAATTTATATGACAAGATATAAATAAATTTTGAATATATAAATAAAAATAAGAATAAATAAAAAACGAAATTATTGTTATTTTGAATTTTTTATATTAAAATTCATATACTATTTATATTCAAATATTATTTTAATTTTATTAATTTAACAAGTTTTTTATTCGACAAAATGAACTTTTATATTATGAATATTAGAAATCCTATCCACCTTTATCTCACCTCCCTCGTGAGATAATTTTATCCGGGCTATATCCCTCCTATATCCGATTTTATCTTATCTTGGGCAGACACCAAGCACGGGATAGGATAAAATTTATCCTATCCCGAATTTTATCCCGACCACCAAACGTAGCCTAAGCCCTAATAAGATCAATAGTTTTAAGGGGGGCGTATTTTGATTCGTGAAACCGTGCATCGCACGTGACTTTAGCTGGGCTCGGAACTAATAAAAGGCGGAAGGGCCCACACCTGTGTTCTGCGCGGGAATGAAATCGACACCCTCCCCTCCCTTCTCTCTCTACCCCTGTCTCTCTCTCTCTCTACAATTTGATTTCACCGCCATTGAAGGAGTCGCGCTCTTCCTCGTCTCGGAGTCGCTTCAACACTTGACGCCGCCGCCGCCGCCGCCGCTCGTTCTTCAGGTAAAAACCCTGATTCCCAACAATCGTTTGTCGTCAGGTTTCGTCGAGTGACTCAACCCTGCATGCATTAGTTCGAACCCTTTCCCCCAATTCGATTCAGCTCTTACGAACCGGCTTTTGCCCTCGCCTCCTTTTGGCTCCTCTATTGATGCGGGGTGGTTCCCCGTGTGTTGTGCACTTTGCTGCGGGGATGTGGAAAGGACTTGATTTTTGGAACTGGGTTTTCGATCTGTTGCTCTTCTCGTCCGGTTCTCGGGGTTTCCGCATGCGAAATCGGAAGAAGAAATGAGATGCGCGCTTGGGCTAGCTTGTGGCCGTCCTCCTATGGCTTTGCGTGTCATGTTTCAGTGTGCTCGATGTGGGCCGGTAAGATCGAGGTTTTTCCTGGCGCAATCTGTGGTTTCCGCCTTAACTAGGTCGTCGAAGCTTAGGGTCCGAGTCTTTATTCTCAATTCTGGAGGCTCATGGGGTTGGTCCGGTTTGTCGTTGGTTTTAAAGAAACGATCACAGTTTGTGCTGATAGAATGTGTCGACCCCCATGCTTATTTATGTAGTCTTCTCTATGGGCTGTAAGCTCTTAGCTTGTTAGAGAGCCGACTGTCGTTTGCTCCGCATATTAGATAACCTTCCATCAGTTATATTACGGGTTAATCGCTATTGGAATTTCAAATTTGTTTTCTCTCTCACTGCTGGTTTTGATCTCGAAAAAAATTACGAGCCGGAGCAGCTGAAGTGACGGTCTGTTGAGCGATCTTGTAGCAGTACCAAAGTGAGGAAATATGAAGTAGGACTTACTTTTGGGGTTCCGGGACGGCTTTCTTCTTATGTTTTCCTACTTTGCGTAATTAAACCCTGGCGTGCACATCAGTAGGCTCATCATAATCATGCATTCTACAGTGGTAGATGTAATAGTAGGTGAAGCTCTCTTGAGAGGCTTCTAAATGAGGTTCCCGTGTTCAGTTGCAGAGCTAGTCATGGATACGTCAAATCCGGCGGTTTTTGTGAATGCTGAGTTGCTTGGTAGGTATGTTGGACGGAAGGTCCGGGCAGTAATTCAGGTTATTCGAAATGATGGCACGGCGGTAATTGGAAAATCTACTGATGAGAAGCAGATGATCGTAAAGGGCTTGCCGCCCTCTCAACTCACAACTTTTGTTGAGGTTATTGGAATTGCTGATGGTCAAAATTCCATCACTGCTGATAAGTGGACCAACTTTGGCGATAATTTCGGTATGCTTTTTTCTTCGTTTTTTTCTTTGCACTAATTTGTTGTCTCTGTTTGATCAATTAGTCCCTTTTGCATTAAGAAGGAAGGTCAATGCTTTAGTGAAGTGAAGTTAAAATTTTAGTAATAGTGGAGAGCTAGTAGTCGTGGTCTCTCTTCATATCAACTTTATCTGAAATTCCGAAGGTTACTTGGGTAAAAATTGGGTAAAAGAATCCATATAACCAGTTCCTCTCCAGACAAATGTCCTAGTCATTATGACATTGACCAACCTTTCGAAGCCTTGTAGCATAACCATCCTTACAATTGCAAATGAGCTCTCCATAGCATGTAAACACTAAGGTCTGCTTTGTTGTGAAATGGGATATGTATGTTGTTGAGTCGAAACCTTTGAATAGTTAGGTGAAAATGAATGCACTTGAGCTCCTCTACTTTTTCAGTTGTTAAGAACAAGAAATGTGGCCCTCATTTAGTTTCACTTAGCAGAAAGCTGATTGTTCCTTGCCAAGAAAATAAAAAAACAACCCAAACATAGGATTTTTTACAGTTTTACTATCCTGTTGCATTAGCAATGCCGGTTTTGGCAACCTTTTTTCATTGATAGTGGAAACGATCCCTTTATTCTCTTCTGTAAAAGGTGTTTGAGTAGGTCTTGATCTATATTTAGGTTTTTTCTTTGTCCGACTCTGCTGGTTGATTTATGTTTAGCTGTGGGATCATTACAAATGTTTGCGAGTTAGATAGGTGTCCATTTAGAATGAAAGTGTTCCATTCAAATCTGTTTTGGGTAACATTAGGTTGCATATTGATTGAAATGAAAATCGGTCAGTTGATACTTAGTTGTTGGGGCATCTCTAAATTTCTGGAGCACCCTTATTGCTTCCCAGTGACTAGTAAGCTGAACACTTAACTGGCTGAGGATTTGTACATGTAAATTCTGCTCACCAGTCACTGATGTCCATGCCAAAACATATAAATCATTTATGCTGCATTGTACGTCTCTGTAGACTTTTGATGCGAGTTTCATTATTTTTTTATCAACTTTCCTATTCTTTGCCAGACACTTTTACTTACAACAAACTTTGTCAACTTGCAAATGGCGAATACCAACACCTTTTTCTTTGAGGTGCTATGAGATCCCTGCAGGTGAAGCTCAAAGGTTTCTGCTGTATCACACATGCTAGGAGCGATGAAAGCTTGAATGATGTGAGTCTGCTGTATTTGTTATGATCTCTTTATTGTAGAAAGCTTTAGGTAGTTCTAAGTCATGCGGTATGATGCCCGCCCAGTCGATTGCAAACATATTTTACCTTCCCTTGATGCCAGGGTTTAATTTCTATCAGAGATTACCTATGTTTTGAATTCATCAGAAATGCAGTTGACATGTTCCTGAGCCTATCTTTGATGCTCAGAGGTGAGAGTACTTTTGTTAGGTTGTTGAAGATGGATAAGGTAGGTAAGAAGTAAAATTCCCTTGGATTTGCATTTTTGCCCACCTATATCTGTGGATAACCCTATTAATTGGCTGCATTAATAGCTGACGATTTACGCAGTAGCTATCTTGTTATTTGGGATCATTGGTATTTGGTTGCGCCTAATTGCTATTTGGTAATCTGTCATTTTGGACTTCTACAATAATGCCCGTTTAAACTTTTCAAAAGCAGAAAAGTACTTTCAAAACATTATCTGACTTTTAAAAATTACGAAAAAGTTATATGTGAATTTACGTGTCAATAGCATATTTACGTTGTAAAAGAGAAAAAAATTAGTAAAAATCAATCCAGAACAGGCTTTTCTGCTTTGAGGCTTAATTTTGTGTGGGCGCGTCATGCAAGCTTCTTCCTTGGGCCTACTTTCCCTGTCTAGGCCTGGCCCATCCTCTAAAGCCCACAGTTAGGCCCATTGCCAATCCCTGATCTTTTCAAGCAAACTATTCCTCGAATTATGCAAATGCGATTGTAGAAATGTCCATGTGATTGTGTTGAACCAGACTCTGTAGCAACTTTTCCTAATAACACATCGTTAAAGGAATTCGAAATGTGGAGAAAATTGTTTGATGCCTATAGGTAGATACTTAATTAATGGAGGTCATTAATCAATGTTAAAAATCTCATATCATCTTGGGTATTAGCGAATTGCAAACTTACACTTTAGTATGCAAAGAAACTCATTCGAGTTACTGATTCACGTACATAGCTCTTGAAAAGTTACTAATCGATGTGGTTATCTTATTTCATGTTCTTACTATTATATTGAAGCTTTTATACTTGCAGTATTAGCATTATCCCAGTTACAGGAGGCATATTGGACATCGCATACATCTTCGATTTCACATCCTCTATAGCTGTACTGCGATGCTGGTGAAAAACTTTGATACAATCCCAGATTAGCATGATACATATTAAAGTCATATCAGTTCGGATAAACTACAACAAAAAGTGAATAATTTCGTATTGGCAACTAGCAAATAGCGGGAAAAGTGTTAGAAAAGTCTTAAATAGCCTTCGACCCATGCTAAGCAGTGTGCAACATTTTTCCTTCCCTCCTGTTGGGCAAAATCGTAATTTTGTGGGAGGAAGAATTCAGGGCAAGAATAGTCTTAAACCTCATGCGCTGAGTCCTGAAACGTGTCAAACACGGCAACCCGATCTTAAATATATTTTTCATAGTCTTTTTTTTTGGTTGAATATCTTTCTGAGTTTGTGCAATCAACTTTTAGACTGTGAATGATAACCATTTCATTTTTTTTTTTCTGTTCCTGGAAACAGGTTTGGAACAGAAATCCGTTTGGTAACGCAATTCATTTTTCTATTTCTGGAACAAATTTTGATTTCAGAAATAGGTTTGGAATATAAATAAAAAGTAAAAATTTTCTACTTTTCTATTTCTGGAACAAAAATGAGAAATAAAAATTATTCTCATTGCTCGCCCTCGCTATTAGTCAGTCGCCCACCCGCCGCCCATCGTTGCCCACCTGCCGTTTGCCACCTCCCACCGTCCGTAGACTGCCTCCCGCCACTGGCCACCGCCTCTCACCGCCGCCCTCCTCTCACCATTGCCCACCTCCCGCTGTTGCCCTCCTCTAGCCACGGCCCGCCTCCCCTCGCTGCCTACTTGCCGTTCATTGCCTTCGGCCGTCGTCCCCCATCGCCCACCGCCGTGGGCCACCAGTCGCCTCCTGCCTCCGCCCTCCTCTCGCCACCGCCCACCTGCCGTTCGCCACCTCCGACCGTCGTCCCCCGCCGTCCACCGCCGTGGGCCACCAATCGCCTCCACGCTGCCGCCCACCTGCCATTCGCCTCCTCCGGCCGTCATCCCCCACCGCCGACTGCTGTGGGCCACCAGTCACCTCTTGCCACCACCCTCCTCCAGCCGCCGCCGCCCACCTGCCGTTCGCCGACTTCAGTCGTCATCCCCAGCCGCCTACCGCCGTCGGCCGTCACCTGCCTCCCGTCGTTACTCGATGCCGGCCGCCTCTTGCTGCCATCCTTCGCATTGGCCGCGCCGCTGTTTGCCATTGCCTCCCGCTGGCCGCCTGCCTGCCGTCCGCCACCCACTAGCCATCCACTCGCTAGTCGCCCAAGAGAGAAATTTTATGCCATTATCAAACAGAATTTTGTTTCGGGAACATAAATTTTGTGTCGTTATCAAACGCGTAATTTTACTCGGAAACTCATTCATGGAATAGAAATAAAAAAAATCTATTTCTGGCCATAAATTGATTTTTGAAACATAATGGTTGTTATTCACACCCTTAGTCTCGCCATCGATGTTACGAAATTTTGTCACTCGTTATGGCATGACTTGTAACAAAAAAAAAAAAATCCCGTTGTCGATGTATTATTATTCAGGGCGATAATAGGTTGGGAAAACTCTAACAAAAGTTTTGAACTAATTGTACTAGTGCCACCTTTTGCTCTGTGCCAATTCAGTCATCCAAGTTAATTTTGGGCGGATATTATTGACTTGAATGTCAGATGGCCTATGTGACAATGTCAGCGCTGACGTTGACAATTTTTAATAATATTTTTATTTATTATATTTTCTATTTTTTCCCTTTTTCTATTTTTTTTTTTCCTTTTTTCCTTTTATCGGTGACCGACCACAAGCGATGGTCTGGAGCTGGCCTTGCCTAGGCGAGAGTCACCATTGCTGCCCAAATGCGAGGCTCGGCCAGGCAATGGCGAGCCCTGGCAAAGGCTCCACTTGCCAGATCTGGTAAGGCCGGCCCTTGCCCAAGCCAGGGCAACCTCAAAAAGTGTCGCTTGGAGAGGTTTGCCTCGCCAAATTTGGAACCGAATCGGTTCAAACCGGGTTACTCTTATCTCTTAGTACCTTTTTATTAATTCTTTTGTTAATATAGAAATTATTTGTTGAAATTGTACATGTTCAACATCTTATTCACAAGTAGAAAGAATTGTATTCATATTCAGCACAAGCATGCTATATATATATAAGGGATAAGTTTACTAGAAATCATAAAATTTGTCATAAAAGTGCAATTGAGTTTTAAAACTTTCAAAAAATGAAATCAAGTCCTAAAACTTATCAAATTAGTGCAATCGAGTTATAAAATTAACACCGTCAATTTGTCTAACGGAAAATGTTGATGGGGCATTTTTAAATTAAATTCTTTCTTCCACGTGGCATTTTTACTATTTTTTTATTTAATATTTAAATTAAATTAAAAAACTAAAAAAGCTAAAAGTTTATTTAAAAAACAACAATGAAAAAGAAAAAGAAAAAGAAAAAAAAGGGGAGGCCTCGTTGGTGAGGTGCTGCCCATTGCCAGCCTCAGGTAAGAGCCAAAGAGGCATCGCTTGGGGTTGGCGAGGCTCGCCGGGCCCTAGCAAGGGCCGGAGAGGGATCATCCAGATCTGAGCATGCCTTGCGAGCCTCAGGTAAGCCAGATTTAGGCAACCCTCGTCGTGGGGCCAGCAACCTCCAGCAATGGGCGGTGGCAGTAGCGCCCTGCCGGCGAGGCCTCCCCCTTTTTTTTTCATTGTTGTTTTTTTAAATAAAGTATTCGTACTTTTTAGTTTTTTAATTTAATTTAAATAAGATTTGAAGAAAAAAAAATACCACATGGTATAGATAAATTAATTTAAAAAATTCATGTCAGCATTTTTCGTTAGATAAATTGACGTTGTTAACTTTAGGATTTGATTGTATCAATTTGACAAATTGTAAAATTCGAATAAACTTTGGACTTAATTGTACTTTTGCAATAAATTTTAGGACCAAGTTCATTTATTCTAATATATATATAACTCTCGTGTTCTGCGCGGGAACGAAACCGAGACTCTCCCTCCATTCTCTCTCTCTCTCTCTCTCGAATTTATTTTGGCCGCCATTTAAGGAGTCGCGCTCTTCGTCCTTCTGGAGTCGCTTCAAGACTTCACACCGCCGCCGCTCGATCTTCAGGTAAAAACCCCCATTGCCGACCATCGTTTGTGATTACGTTTCAACTGAGTAGTTCAAATCTGCAAGCATTCGTCGAACCCTTTCCCCAATTCGATTCAACTCTCATGAATCGGCGTTGCCCTCTTCTCTTTTCGCTCCTCAGTTGACGTGGGTGGTTCCCATGTGCTACGCACTGGCTGCGGGGATGTGAAAGGGCTTGATTTTTGAACTGGGTTTTCGATCCTGTTGTCGTTCTTGGCTTCTCTCTCGGCTTTAATTCGGGGTTTCTGCATGCGAAATCGGAAGAAGAAATGAGATGCGCTTGGCTAGCTTGTGGCCGTCCTATGGATTCGTGTGTCGTGTTCGGTGTGCTCGATGTGGGTCGGTAAGATTGAGGTTTCTCCTGGCGCAATCTGTGGTTTCTGCCTTAGCTAGGTCGTCGAAGCTTAGGGTCCGAGTCTTTATTCTCGATTCTGGGGGCTCATGGGGTTGGTCCAATTTGTCCTTGGTTTAAAAGAAGCACATCAGTTTGTGGTGATAATATATGTTGACCCCCATGCTTATTTCTGTAATCTTTCTCTATGGGCTGTAAGCTCTTAGCTTGTTAGAGAGCCGACTGTTGTTTGCTCCGCATATTAGATAAACTTCCATCAGTTACATTACGGCTTAGTCGCAATTGGAATTTCAAATTTGTTCTCTCTCTCATTGCTGGTCTTGATCTCGAAAAAAGTAGCGAGCCGGAGCAGCTGAAGTGACGGTATGTTGAGCGATCTTGTAGCAGTACCAAAGTGAGAAATTTGAAGTAGGACTACTTTTGGGGTTCCAGGACGGCTTTCCTCTTATGTTTTACTGCTTTACGTAATTAAACCCTGGCATGGACATCAGTAGGTTCATCTTGATTGTGCATTCTACAATACTCGATATAATAGCAGGTGAAGCTCTCTTGAGAGGCATCTAAATAAGGTTCCCATGTTCGAGTTGCAGAGCTAGCCATGGATACGTCAAATCCGGCAGTTTTTGTGAATGCCGAGTTGCTTGGTAGGTATGTTGGACGGAAGGTCCGGGCAGTAATTCAGGTTATTCGAAATGATGGCACGGCGGTAATTGGAAAATCTACTGATGAGAAGCAGATGATTGTAAAGGGCTTGCCGCCCTCTCAACTCACGACTTTTGTTGAGGTTATTGGGATTGCTGATGGTCAAAATTCCATCTCTGCTGATAAGTGGACCAACTTTGGTGATAATTTCGGTATGCTTTTCAGCTCTGGAAAATTTCTTAGTTTTTTCCTTTGCACTAATTTGTTGTCTCTGTTTGATCAATTAGTCCCTTTTGCATTAAGAAGGAAGGTCAATGCTCTAGTGAAGTGAAGTTAAAATTTTAGTAATTATGGAGAGCTAGTAGTCGTGGTCTTTCTTCATATCAACTTTATCTGAAATTCTGAATGTTATCTTGGGTAAAAAATGGATAAAAGAATCCACATAACCAATTCCTCTCCAGAAAAAATGTCCCTGTCATCATGACCAACCTTATGAAGCCTTGTCTGCTTACAATTGCAAATGAGCTCTCCATAGCATCTAAACGCCAAGTTCTGCTTTGTTGTGGGATGGTATATGTATGTCGTCGAGTCCAAAACTTTGAATAGTTAGGTGAAAATGAATGCACTTGAGCTCCTCCATTTTTTTCAGTTTTAAGAGCAAGAAATGTGGCCCTCCTTTAGTTTCACTTAGCAGAAAGCCGATTGTTGCTAAGAAAATAAAGCAACAACCCAGATATAGGATTTTTTATAGTTTCACTATCCTGTTGCATAAGCAATGCCGGATTTGGCAGCCTTTGCTCACTGAGAGTGGAAACAATGCCCTGTGCTTGCTCTCTTCTGTAAAAGGTGCTCGAGTAGGTCTTGATCTATATTTAGGTATTTTGTTGTCTGACTCTGCTGGTTGATTTATGTTTAGCTGTGGGATCATTATGAATGTTAGTGAGTTAGGTAGGTGTCCATTTAGAATGAAAATGTTCCGTTCAAATCTGTTTTTGGGTAACATTAGGTTGCATATTGATTGAAACGAAAATCGCTCAGTTGAGGCTTAGGGCATCTCTAAATTTCTGGAGCACCCTTATTGCTTCCCAGTGACTAGTAAGCTGAACACTTAACTGGCTGAGGACTTGTGCGTGCAAATTCTGCTCACCTGCTCACCAGTCACTGATGTCCATGCCAAAGCATATCAATCATTTATGCTGCATTGCATCTCTTTGTAGACTTTTGATGCGAGTTTCATTATTTGTTTTGAACGACTTTTATATTCTTTGCCAGACACTTTTACTTACAACAAACTTTGTCAACTTGCAAATGGTGAATACCAACACCTATTTCTTTGAGGTGCTGTGAGATCCCTGCAGGTGAAGCTCAAAGGTTTCTGCTGTATCACGCATGCTAGGAGCGATAAAAGCATGAATGATGAGCCTGCTTTATTTGTTGTGACCTCTTTAGTGTAGAAAGCTTTAGGTACTGTTAAGTCATGTGTTATGATGCCCGCCCAGTCTATTGCAAACAGATTTGATCTTCCCTTGATGGCAGGGTTTAATTTCTAATAGAGATACCTATGTTTTGAACATGTTCTTGAGCCTCTTTGATGCTCAGAGGTGGGATAACTTTTGTTAGGTTGTTGAAAATGGATAAGGTAGGTAGGAAGTAACATTCCCTTGGATTTGCAATTTTGCCCACCTATATCTGTGGATAACCCTATTACTTGGCTGCATTACTGGTCGATGATTACCTGGTAGCGTTCTTGTTATTTGGGATCATTGGTACTTGGTTGTGCCTAATTGCTATTTGGTTATGTGTAATCTTTGTCATTTTGGACTTCTACAACCATGCAAGTTTAAACTTTTCAAAAGCAAAAAAGTACTTTCAAAATAATGACTTATAAAAATTACGAAAAAAGTTATATGTGAATTTACGTGTCAATAGCATATACGATGGAAAAGATAACAAAATTAGTAAAAATCAATCCAGAACTGACTTTTCTGCTTTGAGGCTTAAGTTTTTGTTGGTTTGTCATGCTAGCTTCTTCCTTGGGCCTACTTTTACTGTCTAGGCCTGGTCCGTCCTTAGGCCCATTGCCAATCCCTGATCTTTTCAAGCAAAAACTAGTCCTCGTATTATGGAGATGCGATTGTAGAAATGTCCATGTGATTGTGTTGAACCGACTCTGTAGCAACTTTTCCTAATAACACATCGTTAAAGGAATTCGAAATGTGGAGAAAATTAAAAATCTCATGTCATTTCAGGTATTTGCGAGTTGTGCGAATTTGAAAAAATATTAAAATATGAAAAGGAAAAAAAATAAAAATAAAAAACTTGAAAAATATTAAAATATTATTAAAAATTGCTCGCGTCAATACTAATTATTCTTTGTAAGCCGGTTGGTATCCACGTCAGCAATATCTGGTTAAAATTAGTCGGAATAACTGAATTAACATTGGGTCAAAAGATTTTTTTATTAAATTGGCATCATTAAAAGGTTTATGACTAAATTAGCACAAATATAATAAGTTTAGAATTAACACTTTTTCCCGTAAATAGCTATCATGTAAAGTGCATTGTATTGTAAATTGTGAGTATAAACTAAAAAAGACGAAGGTGACATTAATTAGTCGAAATACTAGTTTAAGGGTCACTAGCGATCAAACCCATGTACGATGTTGTCTTAGATTGATCATGTCATGGCCTCAACCGAAAAAAAAGTTCATCTAATCCGAGGATTACAACTGTATTAGGCGTGGAAATTCCATAATGTCGACATTGATTAGGTTTCAGCAAGAAAGAGACATTTGATTAGGTAAGTCTTTTGGACGATATCGTCCTAGTTGCCGTATCTTTTCTTCAACGGTCCAAACCCATCAAAAAGGCAAAAGCTACATTTGAGGAAAAAATCTTTTGATCTTGGAACCTTTACATATACTCACAAGTTCCACCGCTCGTTGAGAGTTAGAATAAGTAAAATTCCGTCGCTCATGAACTGCCACTTACATGAAGAAGAAAGATGCTTTTTAAGTAAACGCCAGTTTCCGATTTCTACTGTCAAAATAGGCTGCGTTTTTTTTTTTCCCGTCTTGATGAAACTTACAACATTGTTCTAGCTTCTGCAAGAAATTAGAATTATCAAAGTAGTCGTTCGTTCTAGTAGGAGAGAATGAAAGAGTAATCGTGAAGGGGGTCGGATGGCAAACTAAGCTGATTGGACGTCTAGGTTCACGTGTGAAGGTACAGGTAACTTACGCAAACCGATGAAATCGTATCGTAAAGCATTTCGAAAAGTGATATTATGTTTTCTTCAAATGAACATATCCTTTTTCTTAATGATCTTCTAGGACCCTTTTGAACTTAGAAAGATTACCAATATTCCAAATAAGGAACCCAATCAATCCTAAACTTATTTTATGGATGTCAATTAAGTTTTAACTTTTCCATTTTATCAATTTAGTCCTAAAGTTTTGTGCGAAATTGCATTATAATCCTTCCGGTCAATTCTCGCCGACTGCCCTCGTTAGCGATTTCCGACGAAAATTAACTAGAAAGGACTACATTTGAATTTTAGGCAAGGGTTTATGACTAAATTGGCAAAACCGAAAAGTTTGGGACTGAATTGATATCTTCACAATAAATTTTGAATTATTCGGATAATTTCCGCCACCAAAATATTCACTGAAGATGACAAGACCGACTACTTATCCTTCACACTCGTGAACTTCCACATATATGGAGAAGAGTAATGCTTTTAAGTAAACGCCGTTTTCCAATTTCTGCTGTCAAAATAGGCTGCGTTTTTCCATTTCGATGAAACTTCCAACAGTTTTCTAGCTTCTGCAAGATTTTGGAATTATTAAAGTGGTAGTTCGTTCTATTAGGAGAACATGAAAGAGTAATCACGAAGGGAGTCTTATAAAGGAAAAATCGGCCGATCGGACGCCTAGGTGCATACGTGAAGGTACCGTTCATTTGCGAAAACAAATGAAACGGTGGTCCGGGGTTTGGTTTGGTTATGTTTGGGTAGGGATTGGCGTCCCCCCGCAACGCTCTGTTGGTGCCACAATATTAGATAATTCGTGGATTGCAATTGCCAAAGTAATTTTCTAACACTAGGTGTGATTTTTTCATTTCTCTGGAAATGTATTCTCGGAAGTTCCTTCGTCGTTTTATGCAACGGCCTGACTCCGTGTGTTGTCTGTGTTTTATTGTCTTAAAAATATGCAAACGATGTCGAGTATAATCACGAGTACTAATTGTGATGCGCATACAACTGCAATTAACTCAATAATAACATTTTATCTGATGATGTATGCTTAGGTTTGAAATTGACGGAGCCATGTTATTATTTGGCCGACTTTAATAGGGTATTTTTACACCCGTCAACGGGTGGGTCGGGTCAGGTTTGGGTCGGGTCGAATATGGGTCGACCCATATTCGACCCATTTAACCCATTTTCATACAATGCAAATATAGTGACCCATACCCGACCTGACCCATATTACTAGAACACATTAATATTTTAGGAAAACTCATACCCATCCATTTAATTCACTTTAACCTCTTCACATGTATATGTTATTAGAATAAAAACTCCACATCAAATTAAATAATAAAAACTCCATCCTTAAGATGGACAACGGATTGTGAACTAGAAAATGAAGTAGTTGATGTCAATATGGTAAGTCCAAAGAAAAATCTATCAAAAGAGAATGGGAGCACTTTAACATCCATTACAGAAGCACTCCTGCCAGGACCAAGGTTTCTTGAATTAAACTTGTGCCTCTCATCATGTGAACACGACCGATAACCAACTTCCTGTACATGGGGGAACTAGAGAAATAGAAGACTCCCATGAGTCTGTTGTGCGGCACAAACATATAGGCATAGAAGATGATCAAATCAGTGATCTTGGCGAAGCATCTACAGATTTAGCATCTGGTTGAGCTCGGAGCTACGTGGTATCAGCTTGTTTCCCCTGCTTTTTGACCTGATCATCAACGCATACTACATTCACATCCACCCAGGTTTTGAACACAACCCCCTACGAACACTCCAACCAAAAACTTAGCCAAAAACACGTCCACGAAAGCTCGATTCAGAGGCCTCGGTGCGACAAACAAATTATCATGGTGAGTGAAACTTTCGAACCTGAGATGAGAAACAAGAAGGAGGAAACCAAGAGAATGAGATAAAAGAAAGTATATACACACATCTTCTAGCCAATCAATTGCATTAAATCATGTGAGTAAACCAAGAGAATGAGATAAAAGAAAGTACCTAATGCAAATAGTCTTGAAAGTCGACAATGAGAGACTCGTCATCGAAATCTTCCTCAAGTGGAATTCCAAATAACCAATCTCTGGTGCACAGCTCGGCCTCTACATTTTCAGGCGAAAGGGAACTACGATATTTATTTAGAATGCGTCCTCCAATGCTAAAGGCCGACTCTGAGGCAACAGTAGTGATAGGAATGCTCAATATATCACGGGCCATGAGAGATAACTCGGGATACCGATGTGAATGAGCTTTCCAATAATCAAGGACATTAAGATCCGGGTATTTTTTTCTATCAAGCCTATTCTCCTCCAAATACAAATCCAATTGTGACTTAGTAGATTGCGAGCCAAAGTGTTCACTCTCGAATGCATCATACTCATCAAGATTGTCCCCAATGTTATCAACGATGTCCTCAACTAAAATGTTACCTCGACTAGTTGAAGATGTAAAGCGATCATCTCTCGACGTAGAGGTCACATATTCATCAAAAAGCATATGGAACCTTTCTCGAATGCTCCGTACATATTCCACATGATCATCCATGTCCAACTTCGAATAGCAAAATTCTAACAAGTGTAACTTATAGCGAGGATCTAATATTGCAGCAAAAGATAAGACAACACTATAACACTTCCAATATTTTTCAAACTTCTTTAGCATTGCTATAGCCATAGATCTAATAGCTACATCCTCACTACTCTTCGGCTTTATCAAACGAAACTGGATCTGCCATACTCCATAGAAATACAAATTCGCCGTGGGATATCTAACTCCAGAGAAGAGAGTGGAAATATCATAAAAATGTTGTAGCAAGAATGCAATTTTCTTGGCTCTAACCCAATCCTCAGGTGATGGACATGTGAGAAAGTTACAATCAATTAACTTCAAATGGGAAAATGCATGTTCGAAGACCAAAGCACCTTCAAGCATTAGATACGTAGAGTTCCATCTGGTAGCCACATCTTGACATACCTTTTTACCCGTCTCCAAGCATGATTGTGATATACATTCAGCAAATTTTACTCTTCTCCCTTGTGTAGATCTCACATATTTGACAGAATCTCTAATATTTTGTAATGCTCCATCAATCACCTTTAGACCTTCTTGTACAATGAGATTCAAAATATGCGCCCCACAACGCACATGAAAAAACTGCCCATCACATAACAAAGAGGATCTCATAGAAGGCGTATTTTTCCAAATATCAACCATACTGTCATTATATGATGCATTATCTAACGTAATACTGAAAATCTTCCTTTCAATGCCCTAATCTCTCAACAAAGTAAAAAAAATTTCCAGTAGAATGGCGCCACTATATGGAGGTGGCACATAGGAGAAGCACAACACCTTTGCATGTAATTCCCAATTCTCATCAATGTAATGGGCAGTGACAGTCATATAATGATCCGTTGTGATAGAAGTCCACAGATCAGAAGTCAAACATATTCTGCTCGAAAGTGACACTAAATTTGATTTCAAATTTCTCTTCTCTTTCTCATAAACTTTTACCACATCATTTCTTGCTGTATTTTTTGATATGTGCTTCACATTGGGGTTGAGGTAACTAAGCAACTCTCTAGTAGCCTCATGCTCTACAAAAGAGTAGGTGTAATTGTGTTTGATTATCGCTCTTGCGAGCTTACCTCTAAACACAGCTTGATCAAATCGTTCCGTGGAATCATCAACATTGGCCTCTCGATTGGGACAAGTACTTAAATGACGCAACAAATTTTTTGTCCCATGGCTAGCCATGTAAGTTAGTTCGCACCACTTACACTTGGCCTTTTCCTAGCCATCCTCATCTATGAACTTTTCAAATTCAGACCATACCACAGAAGTGCATCTTTTTGATCGTTTAGAGCAAATAGAGTTATTTTCCTCATCCTCATGAACTAAGGATGCAACTCTACGTCTCTTGGATCGTTCTGTAGTTGAATATTCTTCTTGTTCCTCGTTAGATCTCGACATGTCAACTAATTGGACAAAACCTGAATACAAGAAAAAGAACATTATTCTCATCAGGTCATCACCCTCAACAAACCAAAAACAAAAAACGAGAAAAAGAATGAAGGGGAAAATGGACACCAAAACAACATCCATACGAAAGTATTTCCAAAAAGACGTAGAGTTGAGCCTAAAGGGCATCTGTTGCATAAAACCTTTATCTTTGTAAATGAAAACATGTCAATAAATAACAAAAGCAAGACAACATGCCAAAAGGTATTCACCATCATTGGCTAAGTTGTCCTCTTCGTTCTACCGACATCTGTTAAAAGGTTTGCACTGCCAATTCTACTCTAATCATAGTCCTGATCGCTGCTTTTCTTCCAAAAGTGTGACCTCTGTAGTTTCTGAGCAATTTAAAAATTTGCAATTGTAGTTCGAAATCCACACATTATGTGTAGGAGAATGGGTCAGAAAGGAAGGACCTCTCTATTGCTATGTGACATACAAACATAAAGAATGAAGAGATTTGGAAGAAGAGCATGCATCAGAGAGTTCGTTCAGCTTCCTTTTGTGACAAAATGCACACTACTTCCACAGATCAATTTGCAACTATACGTACACAACCGAGCAGCCTCGCACAGCCAGTAAGCACATAAGAAAAATTGCTTCAAATTGAAAATCCAAGCCAGTACAACAATTCTGAGTATCCCTTGTGTCGTAATGCACTGGATAGGATGAAACATAGTATGTAGACAAGAAGATACACCAAATAAGCATAGCATCTAATCACACATGAAGTCATAGGCAGATGGGTCAATCAATTGAGCTTCCCCAGAATCGGCTTAAGTCGCGCAACATGTGTATAGCTCATACCATGTCAACGAAAAACCCACAAGATGCGAGACTCAAGATGCAGCCATGAACCACCCTCTATTCTATCACAATCAACCCTCTCAGCTATTTTAGGACACTATCATAGAACTTATGGTGGCAGGGCGACGAGCAGACACAAACACAAAAACCCCCAAGAAAAACCATGAAAATCCGAACGAATACATTACCTTCGTGAGCATGCCGAAACCCTAGCACTTGAAGTAAGTTCTTCCTCCCTGTGGTGAAGAGGAGGGAAACGGAGACGAAGCGAAGTGTGACGAGCGGTGAAGGGCGGCGAGCGACGAGCGGCGAAGCGCGGCTAGCGACGAGCGGCGAAGCACGGCGAGCGACGAGCGGCCAAGGCGATGAACGACGAGCGGCAAAGTGCGGCGAGTGGCGGCGAAGCGCGGCAAGCGGCCAAGGCGGCGAGCGACGAGCGGCGAAGGAAGCGCGGCGAGCGGCCAACAAGAAGCGTAGGTTGGGAGCGAAGCGTCGTTCGTGGATGGGTGCTTGAGCAGGTAACGTGGGTCGTGGGTTTAGAAAATATGGGTTAAAATATGGGTCAGCTGGTGACCCATATTTTAACCCATTTTTTGGGCATTATATATTCTCTAACCCATTTGAGCCCATTTTTGAGATAAGTGAGTTACCCAAATAGATATGGGCTTCCTAAAACTGAGTTATAAAATGGGTACATGACCCATTTTGCCGGCCCTACTAGCAACCCATTGCATAAAGCCAACCCATAGGTAGAAATACCGCGGCAATTGGTCCGGCCGGATCTAAAAGCTAGAGAGCTGAGGGCACCCCCAATTATGAACTGACGCCTCATGCATGTCCTGAATTTTCAAAACTTTTTGCAAAAGGTATAATTACTTTCTCTAAGAATGAGTTTGTTTTGGTGAAATTATTTTCTGGGAAAGTGTTTTCCGGATTTTTATCCGTTTGGTTGTCCGAAAATGATTTAGTCAATCGAAAACACTTTCCAGTCAAGGAAGTCATTCATGTATAAATTTAGGAAAGTGAATTTCCTACTTTAAGAGATGAAAACACTTTCTGAAATTGATTATCTTAAATTTGTTAATATTTTATTTTTCTCTTCTTTTTTCTTTTTTTTCTTTTTCCTTCTTCCTCCCTTTGCCGGTCGCCAGCCCTGGCGGCGGCCAGCCGGCGACCGGCCACAAGCGCGGGCCTGCTTGTTACTGGCCTCAGGCGAGGCCGAGCTCGCCAGCCTCAGCGCAGCAAGCTTGAGTCTCACTGGGATCTGGCAAGCTCGATCTCGCCGACGTTGTGCGAGGCCCGACCTCGTTGCCCCCACCTCGCCTGGACCTCGCCGCCTCCACCTCGCCTCGACCTCACCCGAGGCCGGCAGGCTCCATGCTCGGCAGATCCAAGCGAGCTAGGGCTCAACCGAGGTCGGCGAGCTCGGGCTCGGTCGAGGCCGGTGGGCTCGCAACTTGCCTGAGGCCAGCGAGCTCAAGCTCGCCTAGGGTCGTTGTCGGGGTGTCGCCGGCCGGTTGCGGCGGAGGAAGGAGGAGAAAGAAAAGGAAAGAGAAGAAAAAAGAAAAAGAAAAGAAAAAAATAATTAAAAATTCGAATTTTTTAAAATAAAAATAATTTAAAAAAATTGATTTTTTTTTTTTGCCTGAGATAAAGTCATGAGATTGAAATCATTTTTCAATAAAATCCAAACGTCAGAAAACAATTTCGATCACATATTACCAAACGAAGGAAAACTAACCGTTTTCCTGAAAAATGCTTTCCGAAAAATCATTTTCCTTTATCATTAAGTTTTCGGCGAAACAAACACACCCTAAAAGTACTTTCAACCTTTTAAAATCAATTTCATATGGTCGAAAGGACGAAAATTGCTAGTAGGGTCGGCAAAATGGGTCATGTACCCATTTTATAACTCAGTTTTAGGAAGCCCATATCTATTTGGGTAACTCACTTATCTCAAAAATGGGCTCAAATGGGTTAGAGAATATATAATGCCCAAAAAACGGGTTAAAATATGGGTTACCAGCTGACCCATATTTTAACCCATATTTTCTAAACCCACGACCTACGTTACCTGCTCAAGCACCCATCCACGAACGACGCTTCGCTCCCAACCTACGCTTCTTGTTGGCCGCTCGCCGCGCTTCCTTCGCCGCTCGTCGCTCGCCGCCTTGGCCGCTTGCCGCGCTTCGCCGCCACTCGCCGCACTTTGCCGCTCGTCGTTCGTCGCCCTGGCCGCGCTTCGCCGCCACTCGCCGCACTTTGCCGCTCGTCGTTCGTCGCCTTGGCCGCTCGTCGCTCGTCGTTCGTCGCCGCTCGTCGCTCGCCGCGCTTTGCCGCTTGTCGCTCGCCGCCCTTCACCGCTCGTCACGCTTCGCTTCGTCTCCGTTTCCCTCCTCTTCACCACAGGGAGGAAGAACTTACTTCAAGTGCTAGGGTTTCGGCATGCTCACGAAGGTAATGTATTCGTTCGGATTTTCATGGTTTTTCTTGGGGGTTTTTGTGTTTGTGTCTGCTCGTCGCCCTGCCACCATAAGTTCTATGATAGTGTCCTAAAATAGTCGAGAGGGTTGATTGTGATAGAATAGAGGGTGTTCCATGGCTGCATCTTGAGTACTGCATCTTGTGGGTTTTTCGTTGACATGGTATGAGCTATACACATGTTGCGCGACTTAAGCCAGATTCAGGGGAAGCTCAATTGATTGACCCATCTGCCTATGACTTCATGTGTGATTAGATGCTATGCTTATTTGGTGTATCTTCTTGTCTACATACTATGTTTCATCCTATCCAGTGCATTACGACACAAGGGATACTCAGAATTGTTGTACTGGCTTGGATTTTCAATTTGAAGCAATTTTTCTTATGTGCTTACTAGCTGTGCGAGGCTGCTCGGTTGTGTACGTATAGTTGCAAATTGATCTGTGGAAGTAGTGTGCATTTTGTCACAAAAGGAAGCTGAACGAACTCTCTGATGCATGCTCTTCTTCCAAATCTCTTCATTCTTTATGTTTGTATGTCACATAGCAATAGAGAGGTCCTTCCTTTCTGACCCATTCTCCTACACATAATGTGTGGATTTCGAACTACAATTGCAAATTTTTAAATTGCTCAGAAACTACAGAGGTCACACTTTTGGAAGAAAAGCGCGATCGGACTATGATTAGAGTAGAATTGGCAAGGCAAACCTTTTAATGATGTCGGTAGAACGAAGAGGACAACTTAGCCAATGATGGTGAATACCTTTTGGCATGTTGTCTTGCTTTTGTTATTTATTGACATGTTTTCATTTACAAAGATAAAGGTTTTATGCAACGGATGCCCTTTAGGCTCAACTCTACGTCTTTTTGGAAATACTTTCGTATGGATGTTGTTTTGGTGTCCATTTT